AAAAAAAAAAAAAAAAACACTGCAACTGCAACGAATAGACTCCTTGAGGGCCAACAGCTTTGTCGGTTATGTTTGGGGCATTTAATGGGGATGACGATGATGCTGTTGGATGTTGATGATGTTGCTCATGATGATGATGATAATAATGAAGTGGCGTCCACTGCCCATTGCTTTTGATGTAACTGACCCAAATCGCTTTTAGTAAAACTCTTTTTCTACTTGTAATGGATTTTTCGGCTCTTGTTGTTGTTGTTGTTGCTGTTGCTGTTGCTCATTCATTTGCCTCATTTACAGCTGCAGCACTGCCCAATTTAAATGCAATTGCCATTTTCTGAAACTTTCATACCATCTGCATTGACACTTTTCCCTAAAAACCAATTTCTTGCATTATGACTCTCTCGACATATCTCTCTGTCTTGATTAATAAAAAATTCATTGAAACCAGAATATGGTAAATTAATTCGAAGCTATTTAGTACAATGTCTGAAAGGTATGGAAAACGATATAATATGTGTATTAGTTTGGTTGAGGCCCATTCATATCATTTGACAGGGAATCAGTTTAAGATATATTAAGTGAGAGTTGTCTAAGTCTAAGTCAAGAAGTAACACAGACTCCCACATCTAAGAATACGTTTTTTCTAATTTGTATATTCAAACTCTGAGCACTTTCCAAACCCAGATTCATACTGAAGGAGACTAATATTAAGTATACGCCATGATAAATGTTTGGCACAAAATTCTGAGCAGGTTTTTTACGTTTTTTTTGTGTCAGCGTAAGAACCGCACTACAAAACCGAAGCAAATGGCATTCACTATATAAAAGACAATTTTGAGAAAAGTAAATGCAACACACGTAGGTAGCACAGACAAAAGACACACACACACATACACAAACACACAGTCTCTTTGCCAAATTGAAGGAAACCACAAAAAGCATCGACATGAAGACGGTAAAGCACCAATGAAAGACTCAACGTCATCTTATTGGCTCTTGGCCTGCATAGGGACCGAAAGACTGTTCTCGTTTCGCATTTTTTTTATCTTGGCCTGGAAATAATAAAAAAAAATAGTCGCATTTGGGCAGTTTGAGCACGACAAAACTTGACAATGGCAAGTAGTACGTGCGGCATCTGAATTTTTAGACAGCCCATCAAGTGGAGACCGAGCCACAGTTCACCTGCTTAGCTACTCACCTGCTGCTCACCTGTTTTGCATTGTCTGTTGCGTCTTTGGCTTTTGAGCACGAATCACGTATGTCATGCTCAAGTGCCATACACGTAATGCCATCGAACTAGTTTTCATGTTGGTCCACAGCATCGGGTTTTCACTTTTCACTTGTTTTTGCCAAGTTTATACTCAGTTCAGGTAGAGTAGGTCAAAGGCTTTGGCCTGGCATCATTGAAATCAAAATGAGGTTCTGTTCTCCTCTTCGTGTCGTTTCTTTTTTTTTTTTTTTTTTTTTTTCATGCTCCAGTCGCTGCATAAATTAACAAACTATTCTCTGTTATTTTTTCTAGTTTTTTTTTTTTTTTTTTTTTTTTTTTAGATAATAATCTATAGAGATTGGGACTTACTGTGTATCTACATCTATGTTATATTGTTGGGATAATTGAAACAATGATGGAAACTTTTGGCTCTACATAAAACTTACTAAATGGCGTTTTTCAATAAAACATAAAATATTTTTCTATGTATAAGTCTTGGTTGGCAAACTTTTCCTTTTAAAAGAAATATATGTATAGTTCAATATATGCTAACATTAAAATTTGAAAAAGCATCTGCAATAAATGAAAAGCCCACGTGGCGTATACGTAAAATATTGTTTGCATTGGGCATTGACTAAAACGTAGCTTCACAGTTAACTAAATATCTAGATACAGCCATCTGTTTACAGTGGAAAAGGCAAAAAAGTCGAAATGGGGCGTGGCACAGGCGCACAGAAAAGCATAGCATGACCTAAAACACAAGGAAGAAATAAATAAATGCAGACAAAGTTGTTACGCTCTAAAATGATTTAAATTATATGAAAATTGTATTATGGCAACGATAGAGGAAGCTGTTGTTCGCACTTTTGGGTGTTGCTGCCGGCTGATTGCCGCAGAATATTGGAAACGGGACGACAAAGGGCGTGGAATGTGTGGGCAATGAACCGTTACAAAGTGAGAAAGAAGCGATAGAAATTGGATAATGGCCATAATGGTCAGAAATTGAGAATGCAGAGGGCGGTTAATGAGCAATGGCGACTAGAGCGTAAAATAATTACGGAGAAGGAGGCAGCTATAGTTAGACAGAGATGGAGCAAAGTGAAGAGAGGTGGAGACAGATGAAGAGAAATAAAAAGGTAGAGAGAGATGGGGGATAAAGACAAATAGTAAGAGATAAAGAGATGGACTGATAAAGAGAGATGGAGGGATAACGACAGAGAAAGTAAATGCCAGAGAGAGAGACAGAGAGTGCCCGAAAATAAAAAGACAGACAACGAGAGTAGGAAAAAATATAAATA